TCCGTAAAGTGCACAGTACAACAGCAGCACTTAACGCCATAAACACTCAGATAACTCGTGGCCTTAACCGCAACCGTCCCTGTGAGAGAACGATTCTAGTAGCGTTGGACTTGTCAAAGGCATTTGACACCGTCTGCCATTCCACGCTACTAGAAGATATAGAGGCCTCCTCTCTCCCACAGAGGCTCAAACGGTGGTCGGCAAATTATCTGAGTGGTCGACACTCTCCGGTAATATTTAGAGACAAAACGAGTAAGCAGCGAAAAATAAAACAGGGGTGGTGTCCTTTCCCCGCTACTGTTTAACTTTTATATTTCAAAGCTCCCTCAACCTCAAAAGCGGGTTTTCAATGCCAGTTTAGCAAAATTCGTCGGTTAACAACCGATTGTTTACCAGGCGATGGCCACCGGTTAGCTGCTCACCGATCAAAAAGTGACATCTGACTGCTGTCAAAAATATCCAAAATAAATGTATTGTAATTTACACGCATATTTTTATAGTTATGGAACATATCGAGCCCTAACCGCCAAAATAACGTAAGCGACATTTATTTTAAAATTTTCTTTTGGATGCAGAAATATTCCTAGAGCATTTAGGTGCTCTTTTTTTTACGCCGACTCCGAACGGCGATTGTATTTTTATGAGAAGCTGTTTTTCATGGCAGAAATACACTCGGAGGTTTGCCAAGGCCTGCCGAGGGACGACCACTGTTAAGAAAATACCTTTTCTCTATATTTGCGATGTTGCTTTGACCAGGGTTTGAACCAGAGTGCTGCGGAGTGGAAGCGCGCACTGCTTACCACTACACCACAGCGGCCAGTATATTAAAATGCCAAAAAACAGTGCAGAATTGGAAATTGGTAATCGTAGTTTTCATCAGATTGCAAATTTCCCAAAAGTCGTTGGATGTATAGACTGCATCCATGTGAAGATGTTGTTGTTGTTGTTGTCGTAGCGGCTACAACAACCCCACCCAGATCGGTTGGTATTTCAGTCGTTGTCGTCAAGTTCCACTAACGGCAGCCCTAGGAAGCGTGCAGCTCCTATTGGGTTGGTCGACAAGGATACAGCCGTTAGGGTTGTCGGGTTTTCCGGGCATGCGAAGAGATGTTTCAAATCATGTCAGATAGGAGTTTAACCTGCTGCAGTAGCCAGAGCGGAGTTGGGCTGACGGGTCCAGAGGTTGCTTGATGAACCTCTGGACTTCGTCCGTCAGTTCATATTGATTGCTCGTGACGTGCATAGGCGAGGGCTCCTCTGCAAGCAGCTGTCTGTTTGGGTGGCCACTTCTGTGGCTCCCGATCAGGAACTGCTTGCAGGGCATTATGTTGTGCTCCTTTATGGGGAGCATTTGTGCCTCGTCGTGGAGATGATGTTCGGGCGACATCAGGAGGCATCCTGTCGCTGTCCTGAGTGCGGTGTTCTGTACAGTCTGTAGCTTCGTCCACTGCGTCCTACTAGTCCCCGGCGACCACACTGGCTCTGCGTAGCTTAAAACCGGCCGGCCTATTGCCTTGTATGTTACCAGCAACGTTTCTTTGTCTATGCCCCAAGTACTGCCGGCTAGCGACTTGAGGACCTTGTTGCGGCTCTGTACTTCATTGACAACAGTGGTTGCGTGCGCAGAGAAGGAGAGCAGGCTGTCGAATGTTTTTTTTTTTTTAGATGGGCGCTTACACATATATTAGTGTTTGGCCGAGCTTCTCCTCCGATTTGTGGCGTGCGCCTTGATGTTGTCACACAAAGCGGAGGGACCTACAGTTTTACGCCGACTCCGAACGGCACAATCGAGACTGCCTCTGGTGGTTGAGGGAGCTTTGAAATGTAAAAGTTAAACAGTAGCGGGGAAAGGACACCACCCTGTGGAACCCCCTGTTTTATTTTTCTGAGTTTACTCGATTTGTCTCTAAACATTACCGACGAGTGTCGACCACTCAGATAATTTGCCGACCACCGTTTGAGCCTCTGTGGGAGAGAGGAAGCCTCTATATCTTCTAGTAGCGTGGAATGGCAGACGGTGTCAAACGCCTTTGACAAGTCCAACGCTACTAGAATCGTTGTCTCACAGGGACGGTTTCGGTTAAGGCCACGAGTTATCTGACTGTTTATGGCGTTAAGTGCTGTTGTCGTACTGTGCACTTTACGGAAACCATACTGATGCTTCGCTGGGGTCAAGTGGTTTGTGAAATACGGGAGTAGTAGGGCGTCGAGTGTCTTCGCTACCGGGGAAAGGAGTGTTATCTGACGATAAGAATCTCCTATGTTGGCAGGTTTCCCCGCTTTGAGCAGTGGGACCACTCTCCCCACCTTCCAGATGTCTGGGATGATGAGAGTGGCCATAGACAAATTGGAGACCTCCGTTAGGTACGCTACCCCGCTTATGTACGTTTACTAGTTGCCGAATCTCCGCGTTGAGATCCCTCATACGGGGATCTCCAGAATCGGCCTGACGAAGTTTGGACGTGGGTTCGCTATACATCCTGCCGGTATGAAGCGAGCTGCAGCAGCAGTGACAGCCCTGCGAAACTTACGTTCACCGAGATGGACGTCGGTTGGTGTGGGAAGCGCAGTGAAGGTGTTTTCAGTAAAATCCGCGTAACCTTTCTAATCAGCTTTAGAGAAGTTAATATAGGTCGGTGTTTAGCGGAGGCAAAGTCGGTTGGTTTATCTATCGAGATGACTATGGGTAGGTGGTCTGATACTAAAGTCAGCATAGGTTGTTGTTGTTGTTGTTGTTGTTGTAGCAGCTACAACAACCCCGCTCAGGTCGGTTGGTATCTCAGTCGTTGTCGTCAAGTTCCACTAACGGCAGCCCTAGGAAGCATGCAGCTTCTGCGGGGTTGGTCCACAGGGACAAGGCCGTTAGGGTTGTCGGGTTTTCCGGGCATGGGAAGAGATGTTTCGAGTCATGTGGGGTCTCTCCGCATGCCGGACACTCATTTGGCACATCCTCATTCAATCTACTCAGGTAGGAGTTTAACTTGCTGCAGTAGCCGGAGCGAAGTTGTGCTAGTGTAGTTCGCGTCTCCCGAGGCAGATGAAGCTCCGTCGCGTCTGTGTCCGGGGGCGGTATGTCTAGAACGGCATTCACAGGTCTAGAGTCTACATAACTCGAGACTGACTCCCAGTGAATGCCGTTCAGGGCCAGTCGATAAGCTGTCGGGTCCAGAGGTTGCTTGATGAACCTCTGGACTTCGTCCGTCAGTTCATATAGATGCCTCCTGACGTGCCTAGGCGACGGCTCCTCTGCAAGCAGCTGTCTGTTTGGGTGGCCACTTCTGTGGCTCCCGACCAGCAACTGCTTGCAGAGCATGATGTTATGCTCCATTACGGGGAGCATTTGCGCCTCGCCGTGAAGATAGTGTTCGGGCGACATCAGGAGGCATTCTGTCGCTGTCCTGAGTGCGGTGTTCTGTGCAGTCTGTAGCTTCGTCCACTGCGTCCTACTAGTCCCCGGCGACCACACTGGCGCTGCGTAGTTCAAAACTGGCCGGCCTATTGCCTTGTATGTTGCCAGCAGCGTTTCTTTGTCTTTGCCCCAAGTATTGCCGGCTAGCGACTTGAGGACCTTGTTGCGGCTCTGTACTTTATTGACAATAGCGGTTGCGTGCGCAGAGATGGAGAGCAGGCTGTCGAATGTTACTCCGAGTATTTTGGGGTTATTCACCGTCGGAATTGGTGTGTCATCGACGTGAATCTTCAGCGGTAGCCTGACCTCCTTCGTCCAGGTTGTGAACAGGGTCGCGGAGGATTTCGTAGTGGAGAGGGCTAGACACTTTGCAGTGAAGAAGCGAGAAAGTTCGGAGAGATACCCGTTTACTTTCGAACACAGGTCATCAATTCCATTCCCAGTCGCCATGATCGAGCAATCGTCGGCATAAGAGACAATCGAGACTCCCTCTGGTGGTTGAGGGCGCTTTGAAATGTAAAAGTTAAACAGTAGCGGGGAAAGGACACCACCCTGCGGAACCCCCTGTTTTATTTTTCTGTTTGCTCGTTTTGTCTCTAAACATTACCGACGAATGTCGACCACTCAGATAATTTGCCGACCACCGTTTGAGCCTCTGTGGGAGAGAGGTGGCCTCTATATCTTCTAGTAGCGTGGAATAGCAGACGGTGTTAAACGCCTTTGGTGTATTGTTGATGCTGGCTGTATATTTCAAATAGCTCATGTAAATCTTTATATTTTATGAAATATTTTGGCGAAAGTCTTAACATATAGTAAAATTTACAACTCCGATGGAAAAACAGTGCCAATTTTTTATGAAGAGTGATGCTCTCGAATATACATATATATATGTACATATTTATGTATATTACAAATCCATATGTATATCTATGTAGATAAGATATAGTCTAGTGATAGAAAATAAAAGAAGGTATGCATCATACAAAATTTATGTTAGGCTTTTAATATTACATACAGTTGTCCACAAAATAATAGGCGTAAGGTATGAACCCTGGCAAACTATCACAACTTGTACTCTTTATCGATAGTTGTATCATGGAATGAACTATGGGTATATCTTCATAAAAAATAAAATCAAATTTTTAAGCAAAGTTTAAATTTTCAGAGAGAGCAGGGAAAAATTCAATTAAATGTCATCCCAATTTTTTATTTTCTCAATCTGAATTTTTAGAAAATGTTTGAGTATGCAGTTTTTTATCCAATACAATCTTAATCTGGTGAAGTGCAAATCTCAACCGCCTAAAAAATCGCGTTGATTTTTAATATTTTTTTGTTGATGGCTTTTGCGGCTTTTTCATAGGACAAATGCAATTTATAAAATATCACGGTATACACTTTTATAGCTTGCATGTATGTTGAATGCATATAATAACACTCCTGTTTTTACAGCGTTTTTTCTTTTATAAAATCAACACTTCGATGAATAATGAAAACTTGTAATAAATTTAATTTTTAATGTTATCGAAAACCTGATTCTGGATAGGAAAATTATCCCTCCAGTCACTGCGAGCATTATTAATTTTTGCAATACCTGTTGTTTTTGGTAAGCCTTTTCTTTGTGATATCCATGTCAATAGATGTTTCATTCTGTTCATTAGAAGTCGCGATTGCTAAACTAGACTGCTTATGGAAAACACTTAAAAGCAACTTTTCCCATTGTGCCTGAGAAGCTCCAGTAAAAAAATCTGTCTTCCGACGTAAGAAACTGGCAACCGTGTTTAAAAACTAAAGCAGAAAACATTAACAAAATTTTAGACATATATGTACATATAACTAGATTTCACCTGAGGTATCCCGTCTGTATGTTTTTCCGCTATAGCTAATAGCAATCCGTCGAATTTATCCTCTTCTTTAGACATCCTTGCATTAACGTGCTAAACTTACGTCTTTCAATATCCAAGTTGTTTGAAATAGAACTGGGTTACAAATATCGATTTATCAAAATATCGATATTTTGCAGAAAATATCCAAGAACGATAGAATACAAGATTGCGCATTCCCGCAGAGACATTTGCGGCAACGGGTAAACAAAGAATTTGGCGAAGAACAGAGTTAACGGTTGTGAATTTGCAATGAGAAAACGTGTTTTCTTTACAATTCACCAATTTTTCAAGCCATCTTATAGCAAATTAAGCACAACGTTAACAAAAATTATACAACCACTCTTGAAATCTGTTCAAAAGAATAGAAAGAATTTTGTGTTTGAATTGCAGGTGCCGGAAAAGTGATAATATCTTGTCGCATCGCATGTTTTCCTGCAGAAAGTGGTCGATGCTTGCTTACCTCCGATTTTAATTTGTAAATTGTGGTATTTCAACGTTTTCAACTTAACATGTCGTGTTTAAAAGTGGTGCTTTCAATTGTATGTGGGGTGGTGTTGCTGTTTGAGAACTGTGAAGCTGTGGAAGCTTTTGACAAATCTCCAAAGGACCAAAAGGAAAAATCAACTAAGTTGCCGCCTTGTAAATCATGCACTGTGCTTGTGGAATCATTTAATTTGGTGAGTACGTTGCAGTAATAACAAATTTGTGTCGCATTAATATCAACTTTGGGAAAATTTTAGTAGACGGACGGCAAATTCTAGAAAAAGGGGTGATGAGAGGGGGTAGAATAGGACCCCCTGATTTCAAAAATATCCCCTTTTTTTCTAGCAACCCTATAGTTCTTATATAATTTATTGTTAAAGTTTTCATATAAACGATGAATAAAATAGCAAAATAACATACAACTTAGTGCTACCAGACTGGAATTTTGAATAATAAAAGCGGATTTTTAATTCGGAATTGTTACTTAGTAAAATTATTATTTCTGTGTTGCCGATGAAGGGGGGGCTGAACACATTTTGCAGAGAACACCTTTCTGCGTAGGCTGCCTTAGGCCGCACTTAGGGATTATAACCCTCAGGCAGTAGAATTCTCCTTTCTGTTTTGCGAAGAAAAGGAGCTGAACACGTTTTGCAGAGAACACCTTTCTGCGTAGGCGCCCTTCGGCCGCACTTAGGGATTATAACCCTCAGGCAGTAGAATTCTCCTTTCTGTTTTACGAAGAAAAGGAGCTGAACACCTTTTGCAGAGAACACCTTTCTGCGTAGGCGGCCTTCGGCCGCACTTAGGGATTATAACCCTCAGGCAGTAGAATTCTCCTTTCTGTTTTGCAAACCAACCTGGTGTATTGGTGTGTGTCGCGTCAGTCTCAGCAAAATAGTCTTGCATCAACAACCAGAGCTCAGTACGTCATAGTTATTTTTCTTCTCTGTTTTTGGAAGCTAATGCAATGAGGTATAGTTTTAATAAACATTTATTCGATTTGAAATTTTTACTACTATAGTCTTTATTTTGCAGTATATTATATACATATATTTGCAGTATATTATATTTTCATTGATCAACTTAGTTAAGTTTAACTATAACGAAGCAAAATGATGTGTAAAACCAAGTAATTGCTATTAAATCTAAGTAAAAAAATACACAATTTAAATGATAATTATTAAAAAGATACATGCATACATATATACGTTAAGAACATAAATATATATAGGATATACAATTTTAATGTCTTTGTCAACTTAATTGCGGCCCTGAAAAGGGCCTTTGTTGTTGTTGTTGTAGCAGCATACAAGCTCCCCAAAGGGTTTTTGGGGAGCGTTGCTAGAGTGACAGTCCTTGGCCAAATATAAATCTGGGTCGTTCCGGTTACGTAGACCCGACTGTCGTGGGAACGCTGAAAAGGGCCTCTTGTTGATTGGTATATATGTATTTATCTAAGCATAAAATTTTAATCTCTTTGTTAATTAATTGGCAGCCCTGAAAAGGGCCTTTGGATAAATCATATTACTTGCCTGCAAATAAATAAGTTTATATTTGTATAAAAGACGCTTGATGATTTTTTAAAACTAGGGACTTACGTAGCAGGCAAGTATTTTAATTTTAGGCGTCTGAAATACTGAGATCAGTGCGTGTGAAATGCGGACATTAATTCATGCTGCAAGTAAAGAATGGTTAATTTCTACAAATTTAAAAACGCTTTAGTTCAAAACTTACCACATGTTTGGTATTTTATGCAATACTTACGTTTCTATAATGGTACCATATGGATCGATCTAGGTCAGAGTTTTTTTTGGCTTTTCTTTTTCTTTTGTGGGCATTTTCAAACCTCTCTGAACTTGGCAGGACAACTTTTTCTCAAAGCAAAAATTCCTATCGCATAATTTGCCGTTAATTATCCGTAAATTATCCGTGAAAAGAATTATTTTGCCGCGGACATATCTTAAAAAATATCGCGTGCCCTGCTAACTTCCGTGGAAGTTAGCAGGGCACCTTCTGAAAACCAATAAAGGAAACCAGCTAAGCCCAAACTAACTATCTGATAATTTGCCGTAAATTATCCGTTGTTTATCCGTGAAAAGAATTATCTTGCCGCGGAAACATTTTAAAAAATATTGCGTGCCCTGCTAACTTCCGTGGAAGTTAGCAGGGCACCTTCTGAAAACCGATAAAGGAAACCAGCTAAACCCAAACTAACTATCTGATAACTTGCCGTAAATTATCCGTTGTTTATCCGTGAAAAGAATTATTTTGCCGCGGAAACATTTTAAAAAATATCGCGTGCCCTGCTAACTTCCGTGGAAGTTAGCAGGGCACCTTCTGAAAACCAATAAAGGAACCCAGCTAAACCCAAACTAACTATTTGATAATTTGCCGTAAATTATCCGTTGTTTATCCGTGAAAAGAATAATTTTGCCGCGGACATATTTCAAAAAATTTCGCGTGCCCTGCTAACTTCCATGCACCTTCTGGCAACCAATAAAGGAAACCAGCTAAATCCAAACTAACTATCTGATAATTTGCCGTAAATTATCCGTTGTTTATCCGTTAAAAGAATTATCTTGCCGCGGAAACATTTGAAAAAATATCGCGTGCCTTGCTAACTTCCGTGGAAGTTAGCAGGGCACCTTCTGAAAACCAATAAAGGAA